TTTTTACAAACGAACTGGATCAAACTAAGAACAGAGTTGTGGACATTTTTCAGTCATTTATTGGTTTATTAAACACGAGATGAACGTTTTGTGTTTAGAGTTAGGCAGTCATTGTTGTACGAATTTTGTTATAGTTATTGATACTAGATGTCGTTGAGCGAAAGAGGTCAGTGTAGTTTAGGCAGGTTTTCTGCTAAACGCCCAGAGTTGAGCAGTCTTGTTCCAGTCATTTACGATCTTTATTAGTCATAGTTGTTGCAGGTTTTTTGCTTAAATATATTTCTTTTAACATAGTTTTGTAGTTTTTCAGTTATCTGCAACCTTTGTTAGTTATTGCACTTTATATAATACCTTATTAAATTCTAATCATTTTATTGGCTGTTTATGGTCACGTGATATTGAATAGAAAATTCCATTTCCGCGAGTGCAATGGAATAAAACTTATAGTACAATTGCACTCTTTGTGTTTTCGATAAATCGCATCCCTCAAAATGCTTCTCATACGAATCTATTAGTCTATTTTGGTGTTATATAAAACAAATAATGAATGTTTCTTCGTGCAATGGTAAGAATATTTTCATTCGGTGAAAGATGGAATGTTCCATTCAACTCGGCTGTCGCCTCGTTGAATGGAGCATTCCATCTTTCACCTCATGAAAATATTCTTACCATTGCACTCATAAACATTCATTATTTGTATGACATTGAATGAAAGTTAATTAATTGATTATTGGTTGAAAGCAGTGGCTTGCTGGCAGGGAGGACAGGGACCCAAGCCCTCCCCCTGCGAGGGATTTTAGGGAGCCAAAAGTTTAAAAGCTTTTAAGCATGAAATGAAACCAAAATTGTCAATTCTAGTTAAAAGTCGGTCAGATGAGTAAAGGAAACAGCGGCGCGTATACCTCCCCCCCCCCCGGTTGGTACAAACTTGGAGAGATTGATAACGATGGGCGCCAAATTTGCAGATGGCCTCCCTGATGAACAGGAACCAGCACACCACTAGATGAAAATTTTGGTTTGTTGAGGTTTTCTGCCATATAAAGGTTTTTCAATATGTGCTGCATGTTGACTGATTCTGGCAACGTTGTGGGAATGTGTACCGCGGCGAGTTTGCGAGTTGATTTTTGCAATGAGTGGAAAAGAGCCTTTTCTCCATTACAGCAATCCTTCTCAGCGCCATCTCGTCCAATTACTCCAATAGATCCTGTTTTTTTTGCTATTGATCCTTTTATAAATATGAAATAAACGTTGAAATAGAATTAAAATGAACAGCATTGATATTTTATGATTTCATGTTGTCATCTCCCATAATTGTAATACATCACAGTCATTGGTGTATTTTTAATAAATAATCCAGTATATAATTACAAGCATGTATTACAAGCTCCAAAATACTTCACTCATTCGTTTCTCTCGCAATAATACCCTCCTAAATGAGAAGTGGATTTCTTGGGACAGTCAACACAGATATTTTTCCATCTTACAAAATGTTGGTTACCCTTGCGACAACACGTACGTGACTGGGTTACCTCCACGGGCTCGATTACCATATCCAGAGTGACAATTAATGTTTTTCTCATGAATCATTGACCGTGATACCTACAACAAAGATTTTTAAAAATATTATGTCGTTAAGAATAACTAAATTCATCCGGTTCTATTTGTTCAGACAGGAATGTTTCCCGGTGCGAGCCATGCTTCCAGATGGTGAGATGGTGGACAAACCAAGAAACATTGTTTCCTAGCCATGTTTCCAGAAAGTGGACAAACCAGGAAACATTGTTTGGCACAAAAATCTGAACCGACAGCGCTAGCAGCGAAAGATTTTGGAAAGTCAAACAAATATCGCACTTAGTTGGGAAACAAAATGTGTGTCTGAATTCGTTGGGAAATTCGTTTCTTCTTCCTAGAAGACAAATTTTCTTCCACAGCACCAACAATGTTTCTAAAGGTTAGAAAATGTAGAGATATTCGAACATCAAGTTTCAAATTACTGTTTTCGCAACAATGTTTCCTAGTTTTTCGGCATCAGTGATTTCATATTTACAGTAGACAAACATTACGAAGCACATACACCTTTGCTCTGAGGTAAAGTTTGCTAGCCAGTTTTGGAGCGATCCATTTCAATCTCCTTGACCCCGAAGTAACGGCATATGAGAGTTTCCAAGTAGACAGGATCGTAGGTCGTAGAATAGGTACTGTCACACAGTTTTGGTATTTTATCACATAGGCCGTACGGATCAGCAATCTCTTTTACTGGACAATTACGGTAGCCTTCCTCGTATGTTGTAACATAATGTCAGCGGCATAGCCAGCTCGGATAATTTGGGGGGTCCATATTCATATATTCGTGTTCACAGACCATAAAAACAATTGATTTCAAAAGAAATTAATAATGTAGAACACGAATATATGAATATGGACCCCTCCCCCCAATTATCGAGCTGGCTACGCCGCTGCATAACTTCCCCTGTTACTGGGCAGAATGTAACGAACATCTTTGTTGTAGTTGAGGAAGCTTCCTAAATAATATAGTGGACATATCGAATTTGAATTTCGTCAATTTCTAACAAATACATTGCCGTGCAGTACAATACAATACAATACAATACAATAAAATAAAATATAATACAGTACAATGCAGGGGGTACCGAGGTAGAGTACAGTACAGTGAAGAGCAATGCAGTGCTGCCTGTACAAACTACAAGTGGTAGATATATTTTGATGCTGGTTACAAATGGTGCGATTACATCATTCCAGTCAACCATTTGTTCTCCATTAACCAGGTACGGTTACGAGGCAGTTGGAATGTTACCTTGAAATGAAGACGAAATTTCGAAGTAAAACTAAACTATGAGTTCTAAACTGTTTTCTCTTGGCGATTCATTATGATTATCTCTTACTGATCCACTGTTAGACAGGAGAAACTTAAAGTAACTAACTTTTTATAGTGGATCAGTTTTGAACTACTTGACATCCAGTGAGAGTCATTCCTAATTGGTCCAGTGTTACACACGAAGAAACCTAAAGTAACTTTATTTATACTGGATAACTCTATCAGTTCTCAACTCTTCCCTCTAGAGGTCCAATAAGGTCTATTCCTTTATTGGTTCAGTGTTATTGCAGGAGAAAACCTAAAATACAATCTTGGACATAAGTGGTTGAGATTATCTCCCTACACAAAATTCGTATACCCTTATGATAAAATCTATGTTGAATCATGTTGCGCTTCTTAATCCACCACTCCCCCAACTCAATGTTGAGCTTGTGTCATAGTAAATTACCGAATGTTGTTCTGGCGTTGTTTTCTAACATTAGGGAGCTTAAGATACACCAAATCTACGACGCGGACGTGACGAAAATTACCGCTATTATCACAGTTTCACTTCACGGGTAAAAACCATGGATTGTTGTTGGTAAACAAAGCCAGGCACATGAGAAAAACAATGTAAAATAGTCTCCAATTATTACCGACTGTTTTTAATCGCGTCCGCGTCGCAGATTTGGTACATCTTAAGCTCCTAATGAGCTGTGAGAGGGACTGAAGGGGAGACAAGTTTGTTTTGTCAATGTTCAATAACGTTGCAATATTGGCTGGAATGGTCAGTCAAGGGTTTTGTCCAAGATTGCAGTTAGCCTTATTTTCACTAGGTATTACTAAGGGGAAACCTATCCAAACTAAAATCCTTTATGTTGGTTAGTTTTACCACTTTTTCACAGCTATTGATGTCATGCAAACCTATCAAAAACTTGGTGCTATATTGCCATACCTGGTTTCCAGCAGCTAATGAAGGAAGATTAATATAACCACTGTCACCGGGATATTCAGGACTGGTGGGAATGAACACATAACGCTCTTGTTTATAATAATGTGGCTCTTTTATAGAAGTCAGGTACTCTACTTTGTTATAATCGAAGAAGCCAGACGTTGGACATAGTTTGTCTCGTTTGCCATGGTATTTATACTGTAGAATATTATATATTTAGGTAGATATTTGATTGTAGATGGTAGTGTTCCATAAAGAAGCCGGTAGATGGTAGTGTCCCATAAACATCCAACAGTTTGTTCTTGCCTTTGATTGAAGATGACAACTTCTGTGCAATATTTCCTAAATAAAATATGAAAAAGCTCTATCAGTTCCAAACTGTTCTCCTTATTGGGTAAATATCAGGGATTATTAGTAATTTTTGGCATCTGCGCTTGATGGAACTAATTGTAGAAGGGTTTGTAGATGGATTTTTTTAGTGTGAATTTTATACATTAATTAGACCTAATCAGGAGAAGTTGCGAAAAATACAACTATAGGTCCTCTGGCAGGAAACGGACATGCGGTCCTTGATATTGGCATTACCTTAGTGTATATATCGCAGCACTGCAGGTTCCTGCCAGAGGGCCTATAGATGCATTTTTTGCAACTTCTCCTGGTTAGTCTAATAAATGTATAAAATTCACTACACTCGAAATGTCCATCTACAAAACTCTTCTTCTACATTCCTTTTTAGTCCATTGTTACTGCAGGGAAATCCTAAGCAAACTTCATACTGAATAGTTGTCAACTTTTTTTCCCAGATCTGGAAAGAGTGTTCAATGTTCCTCGGTCCCTAAATTTGCCTTTTTCAAATAATTCTCAAAAGTGCGTAAAAATATATGACCGTGCACGGTCATAGGTTTTTCACTATAAACCATATAACCATGATCACGTTACGCCAGTATGCAACAATAAAGTATACTTGTTACATGTCTCCAATGGCAAATAAGGAAGTATGAGATAATGATTCCTTAATCACTCAACGTATGTGTCAAAAATTAGAAATGTTCCTCAATCTTCTTGCTAAGGGAAATGTTCCTCAGGATTATTCCTAAATTGTTCTTCCTAGAAATATAGTAAGGGCCATCCCATACGTAATACATCAAATGTTGATAAAAATATCATTGAACATTACCTTGGACGACTTTTGTGAGGGCGTCAACCAAGTCAAACTGGAAATCAAATATGGACCCCCTCAAGGTAAAGAATTCAGCCAGAGTGCCTTCCAGATTTTCACACACTAGCATAACTTCCGTTGTCGTTTGTCCTACTTTGATCTCAATCTCGTTCCCATCTGAACCAGACAAGAGGTCACAAGCCTTGCCTTTAAATGCAGACCACAGAGCAGAGTTATGATCCAATTCTGAGCGGCCTACCTTTTAAAGGTAAAGTTAGAGTTACGGGATACTAATTATCTTTCCTTATAGCTGGAGCTGATTTGCGGATGACGCAACCCAAGTCTAGATACATGTATAGAATGGAATGGAATGAAACGGAATGGAATAGAACAGAATGCATGGAATAGAAGGTTATTTGTACAGGGATCACAATCAGTAAAATACTGTTCTCCCAAATGAACCTATCTAATTACAAACGAAACTACTATTACTATTAATTTACTGCTATTGTTATTACAATATTATTACGACATTAGTAGTAGTGCAACTACTATCATTACAAGAACTGAACTGATTACAAGTATTGAGAATGTGTCTGAATATTGATGATTATATTAGATTAATTAGATTAGATTAGATTAAAAATATATAGAATTAGGGAAAGTACATTTATTATGCCGAGGGGGGGGGGG